ACTCTGCCAGTGTAAGAAACCTCAAGCAGGTTTTTTTTAAGCTGAGGAAAAGTCCACAAAGATTGTGCTGGCTTGTTAAGCTGTATGAGCATGAGGATTTTGTGATCTTCTCTCACTTTTCACAGGACTTATCCTGGCTTCCCATAGGTTTGCACAGGTATTTTGTAAAATATCCCTTTTACTCCCTTCAAAGAGAAGCATTTTTTCTTCACCAATGTTTGCTCAACAGTGGGTTGAGCTCATCCTTTGTGTCCCTGCAAAACTGAATGGAGAATTAATTACATGGGATCACATTTGGGTATCTGTGAGATTTGGTGGGTACTGAGGCATATCCATAGGGTGAACCAAATTCCATTGTTTCTTTGATATATTTTTGATTCATTTCCAACCACCAGGAGTAAGGCAATTAAACATGTGAACACAATTGGGATTTTAATCCAAGTTTTCCACTGAAAATCTCCATGGCTTAAAATAATGTATTTCTTCAAACAGTAACATGCAATAAAGTACAATACTTGTCCCCACCACTAAGAAAAACCAAAATTTACAAAACCCTGTGTGTTTTCAACAACTCAAATGCTGGGAGCCCTTGGATCCAATGCAAGCAGGATGCACTTTGGCTTGCCTCCTGTTCTTCAGGGCACTTCTGTCTAGTGTGAGTGCTCAGTGGGAAAAACATGAAATGACCTGAGAGAAATCTCAGTGCATCAAGGTCTACATATATTACAAAAAAGTGGTAGAGAAACTGTTGCCATAAAAAAGTTCATCAGACTTGCAGCTGGAGAAGAAAACAAGGGATAAATATTTTCTCAAAACTCCAAGAAGATCCTTTGCTACATAGACAGCTCAGGCTGATGCTGAGCAGGGCTAAAGGGTTTGGTGAAGGCATGCACAGGAACATCACCTGCACCACATGATTGTTGTATCACTACTACTCTGCACTTCAGAAAATCATAAAATCACAGAAAGGTTTGGATTGGAAGGGATCTTAAAGATTGTTCAGTTCCATGCCCCTGCCATGGGCAGGGACACCTTCCACTAGACCAGGTTGCTCTGAGCCCCATCCAACCTGGCCTTGGACACTTCCAGAGATGGGGCAGCCACAGCTGCTCTGGACAACTTGTGCCAGGGCCTCTCCATCTTCACAGGAAAGAATTTCTTCCTGATGTCCAATCTAAACCTGCTCTGGTCAGTGTGAAGCCACTCCCCCTGGTCCTGTCACTCCAGGCCCTTGTCCAGAGTCTCTCTCCATCTTTCCTGCAGACTATCTTTAGGTCCTCAAAGGCCACAATAAGGTCACCCCAAAACCTTCTCTTCTCCAGGCTGCACAATCCCAATTCCCTCAGCCTTTCCTCCTAGCAGAGCTGCTCCATCCCTCTGATCCCCTTGGTGTCCCTGCTCTGGCCTGGCTCCAGCAGCTCCCTGTCCTTGCTGTGCTGGGCCCAGGGCTGGATGCAGCCCTGCAGGGCGGGATGAGCAGAGCCAGGCAGGGCAGAGAGGCAGAATCCCCTCCACTTCGAGTATCTGCACATTGCTCCTACTGATGATCTTTGTAGTATTAAATGTGGGCTTAGGAGTCATCTACATGAGCTCCTCGGACCTGTGGGGCAGCAGAAGTCTCAGAGAGAACCAGCCGAGAGAGAATCAGCCATTGCTTTGTGAAGGGCTGGCACGATGGGTGCTGACAAAGGCACTCCATGGAGCCAGGGCCTTGCTTTCTCCAATACTCAAGCTAAAGACGAGATACATAAAACCGCTGCTTCTAAAAGGAGATGTAAGCTCCAGAAATAGAAAGTGGGGCCATGCTCCCAAAGACTTTGCCAGTCTTCTCGGGGAGCAGTCCTGACATAAACCTGCTCACCAGTGCAAAGAATAAGAACTGCTTCTTTGGAGTGGGAAAGACACCTTCATTTGTCAGTGGGAGCAGAAAGGGTAGAAACTGTTTAAGAAAATACTTTTGTTGCATTTCAGGACACTGGGGAACACTGGAGGTCTTGAAATGTGGGTCTAAGGGAGAGAAAGGAAAGTTTGTTTCATCTAGATGTGGAGTGCAGAAAAATTACTTGTCCCCTCTGCCCTCTTCTGTGACACAGATGCAGGCATTGGAAGAGTTTTGCTGAGAGAACTCTCAGGTGCCATCATGTTTGCCTCAGAGTAGATGTGTGCAGGTGTTTTAGGACTGTCCCTGTCTGAGGGGGATAAACAACTGAGCTGTTTCAACTGGTTTAAGAGTGGGCAAATTTCATAATTTCCAGCTTGCAAACAAAGATATGAGACCAAGCTGAAGAAGTTCCATTTCCGCTAACAGAGGAGGCACCATGCATTCACGCTTTACAGTTCCCTCTGTCACTGCTGACTTGGAAAAAACAATAGCTAGGCAAAGTGTGGCTTCACCTGGAGACACTGCTCCATGGTCTTTTCCATCCTGTGGATTAAATTTCCTTGTGAAGACATCAGAGGATTGCATGGGCCTTTGCTAGGAAAACTGCAGTATTAGCATGTGACCTGAGGAAGACATCATCACTGAAACAACTATAATGGTCATTTTTGTATCCTCAGGTTGGGACAAGGCATGTTTAACATGGAGCCTGGCTGCGCCCTGGCAGCCAGGAGGGACATCCCTGTCCAGGGGGCACCAGGCCCAGCATGGCCAGCCAGGCCCAGGGTGGGAATTGTCCCACTCTGCTTTGGGCTGGGGCAGCTTTGGGTGCCACAATAGTAGGAAAATCTAAAGCTATTAGAGAGCTGGGTCAGGGGAGGGTTAGGCTGGATTTCAGGAAGAGATTCTTCCCCCAGAGGGTGGCTGGACACTGAATAGGCTCCCCCAGGCAGCACTCACAGCAAAAAGCCAGACAGAGCTCAAGAAGTGTTTGGAAAACACTCGGGCACATGGTAATTCTTGGGCTGTGCTGTGCAGGGCCAGGAGTTGGACTGGATGATCCTTGTGGCTCCTTTTCAGTTCAGGACATTCTCTGATTCTATGAAACTTCTCCCAGTGAATCTTCAGTAAGTTACAACATAGAATCAGTCCTCCATTTCCATTTATAGCCTAATTCCCTTGATCTTTCTAGCACTAAGTTATTACCACTGTGTCATGCAGGTCCAGATTACAGCAGTTCTTCCAGGCAGGACTCTTCAGTATCAGAACAGCAAGAAGACTTTGGTTTCTCCAAAGGCTACAATGAGTTAAGCAGCTGCAGCACTCCTATTTCCACACAAAGATGGGAAGATGGAGCCAATTCCATGCAGATGGTGAGCTATTTAAACAAGAAATTCCTGTTCTGCATCAGCCTGCTGATGTGCCTCCTGCCAGAGGGCATCTGCAGCCTGAGCACTGCCAGTTTCCAGCCCCAGCGCTTCCCCCCTCCCACCAGCACTGCTTGTACAAACAGGGAGAAGGCACTGCATCCCACCATACCTCCTCTGCTTCTTCAGGCCCAGGGAAGAAGGAAATCTACACATTTATCACTCAGAAAGGCACTTTGGTGACAGTGGAAAATATTACACACAGCCACAAAAATAGTCATGTCTCCTACCCAACAACAGCATTATTTCAATGTGATGGATGGCTTAAACCAAATAAAGCTACTTTCAGAGGCAAACCTCGACCTTCAGGGCTCTTTATTAGATATGTAAAGGTTCATCCACCAGGGGTCCCAAGCAGCTGTTTAAATATGCAGAATCTTAATGAAGTCAGCAATGCTCCTGATGTGTTTCAAGTACTCTTTGCTGGATCCATGCCCATACAACCTCTCTGCTGCCCTTAACCATGGAGGTATTTAATGGTGCAGGTGCCACACAGTGGAAGTGGTCACCATTCCTGTCACCCAGAGGGAGATGAGGGCATGTTTTAGGCCAGGTTCAAATAGTACTGGTTTTTCATCAGTTTCAGCAGGGTTACTTTCAATCCAAATATTAAGACCAGCATCACAGAGTTGTGCCTTGTCCTGAAAGCTTAGTTATTGTTGGTGTATTATTTACTTATTTAGCAAAGAGAAATTCACAGTGCAGAGTCTATTTTAGCCCTAGTCTTGGAAAGGGTCTGCTATAGCTGTCACTATTATATATGTGAAATTCCAGGTGCACATCTGACCAAGTATCAACAAGTATTTTCAATCTTCATGGAATGCCTACTAGTGATGTTCCAAAACATCTTTCTCAGACTGCCTGTGTAGCTCATTCTTCCTTCTATTAATTCTTCCATCTCTGACCAGTGAAAACATGGACACCATTATATTTACCCGACCTCATTGCCATCTCAGCTGGGGAGAAGCTGAGCTCAGGATGCGAATCAGGCCTGTGGTAGTGCCTATATTGCAGGCTGGCTGTTTGGGTTGGATCTGCAGACGCAGGAAATCCAGGCAGTGCTGGCTCCTGCAACCCCGTGACACAGCTGACTGCCACCCAACACTGCTTCAGACAAGCAGGAGATCTCTCTTGGCTCTGTTGGCCATCATTGGGATCTCCATGCTTCAAAGCAGTTGCTTAATCATGGACATCTGATGCCATCTGAGGCTGACAAGGATGTCCCTGCTCTGACTTTCAGTTCCTGCTGCAGAAGAGCGCCACACTCCATGCTGTAATTCCTCAAGTACCTCTGGGATACCCTAGGAAGCTCACTGCTTATTTATTTCGGACCTTGTTGCTCTAGAAGAGTTGATGGTGGCAAGGACCAGAGGTTTTTGCTCTATCCTCTCAAGAGAGAGGGGCCTAGTGAGACACATTTACCACTGACATTGACAAAAGTAAGAGTTGTGTTTGCTTTGAAACCAAAAATCCTGTACCAAGAGCCCCATTGCTTATGAGAGTTATTAGTCAAGCTACAGTTTTAAACCTTGTGAATTAAATACTCTACTATAAAAATAAAGCTTAGTGGTCAGACAGTTGCAAGAAGCAGGATATTCAACGTCAGTTATTCAAAACAACCAAAGGAAGTCCATTTTAAAAGTACTGATGAGACTATTTCTCACAGACCACTAAGCAACTGAGACATTCAGATATCCAGAAACAGAATAGACTGCAATTTATTTACCTGATCTATGCAGGCTAACATAACTGGGGTTTTAAGTAATAATTTCTTGATAGACACCTATTTGTGAGCATTATATATTCTCCTGAGATTGTGACATACTTCTTCAGACACAAGGGGTCAGACAGTTAAGACAATCTGAGAGCAGAGAGGATGTAAACACAATGATTTTTTTCATGTGATTTTGTCAAAGCAATATAGAAAACACCAAAATAACATCATCACTTTTGTACAACAATGCAGTCACTATTCCTGGGTGTAGGACTGACCTTTGCAAAGAATTTTTGATTTGCTGTAGCTCAGTTTCTCCAGTGGAAAATGGCCACTCTGCTGCCATAAACAAGAAGACCTGTGTGATTTCAGCTGCTGATGTGTTGTCTCTGATTCTGTTCTCAGCTGGTGAGGGCTGTTGGCACAGCAGACTTGTGTGGGTCAGGCAGGCACTCTGTTTTCCACACGGTGCTGGAATGCTGCTGTGCAGAGGTGGCTGCGTGGGATGGCAGTCATGGTGTTGTTGACTGATTCGTCCACAACGGCATCATTTGTACACAGCTGTGAAGAGAGCCCTTGTCAGGCTCATTACCATCTGGGCAGAGTCATTCCCAGAGCAGAGCCAGCCTGGCTGAATGGACAGACTGCAGGAGGAGATGTTGGGGAGCAATGCCATGGAAAGAGACCTGGGGGTCCTGGTCGATGGCCAGTTGGACATGCGTCAGCAGTGACCTGGAGCCAGGAAGGACATCCTAGCTAGCCAGGCCAGGGAGGGGATTGTCCCACTCTGCTCTGGGCTGGGGCAGCCTCACCTCGAGTGCCAGGGCAGGTTTGGATGCCACAACATAAGAAAGATCTAAAGCTGATAGAGAGTGTCCAAAGGAGGACCACCAGGATGGGGAAGAACATGGAGGGGAAGCCACATAAGAAGCAGCTGAGGGCACTTGGTTTGTTCAGCTGGAGAAGAGCAGACTGAGGTCAGAGCTCACACTGCAGCTTCCTCACGAGGGAAAGAGGAGGGGCAAGCCCTGATCTGTGCTCTGTGTGACCAGGGACAGGACCCAAAGAAATGGCTGGAGCTCTATAAGGGGACGGTCAGGGTGGATATCAGGAAAAGGTTCTTCCCTCAGAGGGTGCTGGGGCACTGAACAGGCTCCTCAGGGAATGGTCACAGCCCCAAGGCTGCCAGAGCTCCAGGAGTGTTTGGACAATGCTCTCAGGCACTGGGTGGGATTCTTGGGGTGGCCTGTGCAGGGCCAGGAGTTGGGCTGGATGGTCCTTGTGGGTCCTTTCCAGCTCAGGATATCCTGTGATTCTGTGGCTATGTCAACTGCAGGGAATAAGCTGATTTTATGACAACGAAGCACAAATGGGTGGGTTACAAATTACAGGACAAGGGGGCTGATCATATATCCCAAAATGCTAATGATGATATGCAAGGAGATAGCCAGCCATCTCACAGCCTGGTCAAGGTGAAGACACATAGGAAGGTGGTCACCTTCTTACTTGAAAATAAAACCCAGGCAAAACTGATCTCTGCTTAGGTTTGATTACCAGCACAAATCTCAGGTTGAGTTCATCAAAGTTGTAGGATGAGATCTGAGTAATGAGTGAAATGAGTGCTCAGATTTCCAGCAGATCCAAGTCATGTTTAGACTCAAGCTCTGCTCTCTGGGTGGGGATCTACAGTTGCAGAAAGGAAGGTGATGAACCCAAGTGGTTTTAGCTGGAAACCACTCCAAACTAAGATCTGGAAAAGTTCTGCTTTCTATTATCTGGTTATATGAAGAATAAAATTGTGTTAAAGCAACACTTTGCCTCTGCCTCTCCTCAGATTTTGGATCCTTGTTCAAGCTGGGAACTGGAGGGTAATTCTGATTTGGTTTGCTTTGTGGGCATTATAATGTTGGCATATTTTGGCTTGTGTCTGCTTTCCAAATTGGGAAATTACTTCAGCATTTGCATTTTTATTCTTGTTTTAATCCATTCTCAGGCTCACCTTCAAGACAAGGACTTGAAACCCCATGTGTATTTCAAACTTTTTTTCTTCACTGGAGTTGATTTCTCTTTTTATGTTCTCTGATTGAAAGAGGACAAATAGAACAGGTATCATTTTATCAAACTCTTCTGAACCACATGTATTTAGGCAGATAAGGGCCCAGAAAGGACCATGTAGGTCTGGCTCTATCAGGATTAAAGCTCCAGGAGGAAAAACATAGGACACAGTGTGCCAGGGATGCTCAGAGGAGACCTCAGTCTCCTCTTCTCCAGCTGAACAGACCAAGGGCCATCAGCTGCTTCTCAGGGCTCATTACCCTGTTTATAGGTGTGTGAGATCTGATATTGATATCTGTGTCTCTAGGAACTGAAATAATAAATTGAGTCAAGAAAGATCAGCATGAATCCCACCTCTTCCCTGTATCCTGCTGCATGACATGGTACTATCAACATTACAGGGGTGTTTATCTGTGTCCGGGTACTGCTGCTTCCTTTTCCTCTTTCACCTGGGGTCAATCTCTACAGCCAACCTCACCAGGACTTTAAGGGCTTTAAAATATCCCTATTTTATCTGCAGGACTGCACTGTGTGTGAACATTACAGAATGTTTCTGCTCTGGACCTCATCTGGACCTCCACCAACAAGCCAGTGTTCAGGCTGCTCTTGCTCTGCTTCTCATCTCACGTACTTTCAAAACACTTCCCTGTTCTCCCAGAGCTCCCAGGCACCTTCCTGCTCCCTTCCTGTCTGCTTGGTAGGCCTGCTGCTGTGCCAGCACTGTGTTCTCTGTGTCTGCAACCCTATTTCTGTACACACCAGACGAAGAAAGTTCTCTAGTGCCACACCTGAATGGACAGAGCCTCCCATCTGCCCCACTCCCACCCACTCTGCAGATTTGGGCTGGTGCTTCCCACCAGCAGAAGGCAAACTGTGGCATAAGAGAACACCTGAATCACAAAATCATTCAAGTTGGAAAAGATCTCTGAGATCATGAAGTCCAACCTGTGACCAAACACCAGACCATGACACCCAGTGCCATGTCCAGTCTTTCCTTAAACGCTTCTGAGGATGGGGACTCTATCATCACCCTGGACAGCCCCTTCCAATATTTAATCACCCTTTCAGTAAAGAAATTCTTCCTAATGTCCAATCTGAACCTCCCCTGCTGCAGCTTGAGGCTGTTTCCTCTTATCTTGTCCCTTGTTCCCTGGGAGCACCTGGCTGTTCCCTCCTGTCAGGGAGTTGTGCAGAGCCAGAAGATCCCCCCTGAGCCTCCTTTTTTCCAGGCTGAGACCCTTTTCCAGCTTCCTCATCTGCTCCACATAGGACTTGTGCTCCAGACTCTTCCCCAACTCCCCATTCCCTCCTCTGGACATGCTCCAGCCCCTCAATGCCCATCTTGCAGTGACAGGTGCAGAACTGGACACGGGATTTGAGATATGGCCTCACCAGTGTTCAGTACTCAGGGACAATCAGTGGTCAGATCCTGCTGGCCACACCATTGTTCATCCCAGCTGGGTGCCATTGGCCTTGCCCACACGTTGCTTCTCATTCAGCCACTGTCACCAGCTCCTCCAGGCCCTTTCCCTTTCCAGCCATTCTGCCCCAGACGGGAGCACTGCAGGAAGCTGTTGGGGCCAAAGTGTGGGACCCAGAACTTGGCCTGGTTGAACCTCAAGTTCTCCCCAATGACCACAGCAGTCTAATTGTCTCCCATCTTTGCCTCCTGGAAACAGTTAATAAGAAAGATACCTTGCTAAGGCAACATCTCTGGCCATCCAGGGAGCTCTGTCTGAGTGTCCATCATCTGTGAGGACAGACAGCACTGCTCTGGAAGGCACTGCAAAAGGCTGTCCTCTGGGAACAGAGTGCCCTCACTGAGACCATCCCCAGCCAGTCAGTTTTATGTTATCCTCAGCTGGTATCTCTTTGCCATGCAAGCTAGGGGCTTTTCCTCCCTGCCCCCAAATCCAGGGCTGTTTTAGGTTACAGTGTAAGATGTAACCAAAAGTATGTATTCTGCCACCATCTTCAGAAGCTGTTAAAGCAGGTGGGGCAGTGTTCCTTATCTCCTTCATGATTCATTCCTGATAGCTCCAGGGGCTGTCTTCTGTTAATGGGCCATCAAGTCTCACTGCATGACGGATAAAATTGCATCATCCCATTGTGAGATGCTCTGCTCAGGAAGAGGAGCCAAGCATTCCTACCTGGATAGAATCCGAGACTTGGAATGGGCAGCCTTATCTACTGCATTCCCAGGAGACAAGAGCTACATAACCACCACCAGAACTTCAGAGGAAGACCCGACCCTTCTACAGGATCACTGCTTCAACAGAACCACATCTATCACTTCAAGAGGACTGCAGACACCATTTAATGGGACTGCTACCACCATCCTGACCAACAGGCTGTCAGTTCTGACTTGGGATCTCCCATTGGTTTGTTTTCAAACTAGCACAAGGGCTGGCTATAATTCATGCAATGGTGCTCCAATTTCTTTCCCTAATTCCTGTTTTCCCGAGGGGTTGCTTCCTGCAAATAGGCTTCCTTCAGGAATAACAGCACAATGTGTACATTTCCCCCCTTCTTTATGAGCCCCTCCTGCCTTTCCATATTTTTTATGCTGTTCTGATATTTCTGTACTTACCTAGGTAATACCTTTTAAGAACTCATCCCCCTTCAACTCGAAATTGCTTCTCCTTTCCTTGTGCCTCTCCTTTTGCTCTCAATTTTTTGTATTTTCTAATTAATCTCCCTGCAATGCTGAGATGCTAATAAAATCAGAGGGAGAAAGGATTTTTATGGGACCCAGAGCTTGCTTGAAAACTAATAACCTTGCTAAAGTAGATTTAAGAGATGCTAGGTGCAGCCTTGCTCTGAGTGCAAACCTTGACTCAGCACATATGCAAACAGGATCCAAAAATAGCTTGCACTTTCCCAATTCACATGTGATGCATGTGCCATAATTCTGCACTGTGCTTTCCAAATATAGCACTCACACACTATTGGCTGGTCTAAATCCGTGGACATTTAGCTTTTTCAACCCAGGCATCAAAGCACGTGGCTGCACAGTTTTTTCATAGAGGGATTTTTCTCCTGGGCGCCTCCCCCTCTATTCACAAAAATAAAGAGATCTATCCCCTCCCCTGTGGCTTAAGATCCCCGTGGCAACTGCAGAAACCCCTCGTGAGGAGAAGTGACATTAGGTGTTGGCTCAGAGGTATTTTTAGCTTCTTGCTATGCTCTCTAGCAGCTGTAAGCAAAGAGGTAACCTGTCACCTTGAAGTCAGCCAATTCCCCTAGAACAGCAGCAAGGACTCTGCAGAGCAGCAACCCAGAAACCACAGCCTGACAAGCAGGGCTTGTCTGCACGCAGATCTGAGCCAGGAGCTCAGTTAAAGACTGAATGAAGGGCTTCTCTCCTCTATTTCAGGGATGGAGATGGAATGAAGTGCTTCTCTCCTGTATTTCAGGGGAGCAGGTGAGTTTCTGGGGCAGGACTGAAAAGGCAGAGCACTGATCTAACCACTGGGATCAAGGCCAGGGTGGATGGGGCTCTGAGCAATCTGGGCTAGTGGGAGGTGTCTCTGTCCATGGTGGGGAGTGGAATGAGATGAACTTCAAAGCCTTTCCAACCCAAACCATTCATGATTCTGTGATGACCATTTCTTTGGAATAAAGCAGCTAGGGAGTTGGGGAGCACAATTCCAGGGCACTATAGGTCCAGAGATGCCTCACAGGTTTCCACGCACACTTCAGATCATGGTTACACACCCGCTGTGTTACAGGCACAGGCTTAGGACAGAGCAAGAGTCTACACCCCATGAAGGGACACTGCAAATTCCTTTGAGGATTTCTGTTGCTAAAGCAAATATGGCACAGACACAGAGCAAAAGCACATAAAGTGTCCATTCAAATACAGCCCAAAAGGTACAAGAATAACTCTGTCCCACCAGCCTTATGTCAGAGCAGGTACTGTTCTTCCTGCAGCTGTGGTGAGCAGCTCCCACATCTGCTGTCAATAGTGCAGCAGAAATGTGAGGAACACATCCATACCTTCTTTCCAGTGATCCTGCTGGATGATCCAACACTGCTTTAATCCCATATCAGTGATCATTAGTTGTGAAACAGCCTGAAGGGAGAAGAGAAGACAGATGTGATACATGAATCTTATAACTTAGCAGACAAGGTCTTCAAGTGCCTGTAGTGGTAAGAACAGATCTGAAGCAAAGGAAAGTATACCTTCTTGGGGCTGTGCTGTGCAGGGCTAAGAGCTGGCCTTGGTGAGCCTTGTGGGTTCCTTCCAGCTCAGGAGGTTCTACAATTCTGTATTCTGTGATCTATCAGGCTGATAACACTGATATGTCCTCCAAGCCCAAGGAAAGGAATTTAACCTGCAGGAAATCCAGGCATTGAGAGACAGCCTGGGCCAAACTCATTTGGGATCATACTGCAAGTACTTTCTGACAGTACACTACACCTCCTTATCTAAATTGCCTGCTACTACCACTACCTTGCTTATCAAGTCCTGCTTTACACTTATTGAACTCCAGCAGCTTTGCTCCTAAAATATACGGGCACACAAATATACTGGCGTGACTCAGAGGTGGTAACATCAGTGGGGATTTTTTTGCATAGCAGCAATGTTTAAAGATAAAAATTAATGCAGCTACTCTAGGGGCAGATGGAGAAGTGAAGGAATTGGCAGCTCAAATCCCATTACCTGTGGGTATCTTTGCAAGCACTCACAGCCTCTGACCAAGGGCCTTTCACATCTGCTTCAGCTCATAGTGCAGATGCTTAACCCTTAAAAACAGGCACTGAAGGGGAAACCTCTTGAGGGTTTGCAGCATTCCTTCTATTCAGCCATCTTCACTGCAACACCAGCAACTAACACTTCATTATTCCTGAGGAAAATAGAAGGAATTTTTGCCAGTAAGGACTTAGGGATGCTGGTGGGTGAGATCTAGCCCTGTCCCAGCTGTGTGTGCTGGGACCCAGAAACCCCCTGTGCTGGGCTGAGCCCCCAGCGTGGGCAGCAGGGGAGGGGAAGGGAGGATTCTGCCCCTCTGCCCTGCTCAGGTGAGACCACACCTGCAGAGCTGCCTCCAGCCCTGGCCCAGCACAGCAAGGACAGGGAGCTGCTGGAGCCAGGCCAGAGCAGGGACACCAAGGGGATCAGAGGGATGGAGCAGCTCTGCTGGGAGGAAAGGCTGAGGGAATTGGGATTGTTCAGCCTGGAGAAGAGAAGGTTTTGGGGTGACCTTATTGTGGCCTTTGAGGACCTAAAGATAGCCTGCAGGAAAGATGGAGAGAGGCCCTGACAAGGGCCTGGAGTGACAGGACCAGGGGGAATGGCTTCAAAATGACAGAGAGCAGGTTTAGATTAGACAGTAAGAAAAAATTCTTCCCTGTGAAGATGGAGAGACCCTGGCACAAGTTGTCCAGAGCAGCTGTGGCTGCCCCATCCCTGGAAATATCCAAGGCCAGGTTGGATGGGGCTCTGGTCTAGTGGAAGGTGTCCCTGCCCATGACAGGGGATTTAGAAATGGATGATCTTTTAGGTCCCTTCCCACCCAGCCATTCTATGACTTTATGATTCCTATCTCTCCTGTCCCAACCTTTCAACTCCCATCAGATTTTCAGATTCCTACAAGCCACTCCTTGGGACAGCAGGGCTCCAAACTGCTGATACCCAGTTTGCTGTGGAAGAACAGCAGTGACCTGGAGCTGCTGACTGGGCACAGGTCACAAAGGCTGTCTGAAGGGATGTCCCCGAGACAGAGGCTCTGCTCCATTCCCCCATGAACAGAGTGGGTTCAGCTCTCTGCTGCTCAGTGGTGCAGATGGAGCCCACAGCCCCGCTGAGCAGGCATAGGCTGTGGGCTAGAGCAGTGCCGAGGAGTTGGTGTGTGACAGACAGGCTGGCTCCTCCACTCCTGGGTCACCACAGAGCTCCTGGATGTCACCGTGCAGCTGTGGTGGGGGATGTTAGCATGCTCTTGGCTGCCATTCTGTCTGAGGAAAGGCAGCCTCATTTATGCAGAGTTCTGAATAAATTCCCTGCTAACCTCCCAGCCATCTGCTGTGGCAGCTGTACCTTCAGAGGCAGCCAAAGAGCTCAGCTGCCAGCAGCACGAAGCAGAACTGGTGCCTTCTCAGAGCATGGGGGCTGCTGGCAATAGAACTTGAAGTCAGGCAGTTTTCCTGGGGGCTTCCAAATGGTTGCTCTTTGTCCAGTGGCATGAAATATAAGAGGGGGAGGCACCTGCCATGAAAGGCAAACCTAGGCAAAACCCCCCTGGTTTGGTTACAAATGTCAGTCTCAGGTTAGGTTCACAAAAGTTCAAAGGTCTCCTGGTGAACTTGAGATAGGCCTTTTGAGAACCAGAACTGGATGCTGGGAAATTGAGAGCCATGAGCAGCCCTTTGAGATCAAGATATGAGTGAGGAGGCACCAAACAATGGGGCAGGTTTGTCCAAGAGGTGGTGACTGTTTGGGAGGGCTGAGTGCAGCAGCTCCAGGTCACTGCTGTTCATCCACTGCAGACTGGGTATCAGCAGTTTGGAGCCCTGCTGTCCCAAGGAGTGGCTTGTAGGAATCTGAAAATCTGATGGGAGTAGAAGGATTGGGACAGGAGGGATAGGAATCATAAAGTCATAGAATGGCTGGGTGGGAAGGGACCTAAAAGATCATCCATTTCTAAATCCCCTGTCATGGGCAGGGACACCTTCCAATATCCCAGGCTGCTCAGAGCCCCATCCAACCTGGCCTTGGACTCCTTGGTGCAGGATGCTGTGAATGGTAGCTGTTCACAAGCGTTCAGCTGGTCAAACTCATGGAAGTGAAATGCCTTGGAGGTTTATATTTGAAGTAATAAACCAACTTGTGAAGCTTCTGGAGGTTTCCTGGGTTTAGGTAATGGATTCAGAGCAAGAGTAGCACAAAGAGTCACTCCTGTGTACTGCATTATTTCCTTGACCAGCACTCAGGGTTCAAAGGTACAAAAGTATTTACAATCTCAAGTTTTACTGAAACAAGAGAGTTTAAGTTCCTATGTCTTTGTGATTCTGCAGAAGGGTGGCTTACCACCTCCCACAGAGACTTTTGCTCAGCCTTCCCATGACATTCACACAAGTGGCTGATGGAGGACGTGCTCCACATGTGTCCAAGGTCTGTAAAATCAATGTTCAAAGGCACAGCTGAGCTAGTTGTGGTGGTTTGACCAGGAAGAAGTGGGAATTCTGGGATGCTGTGGTCAAACCAATGGATGTTTGGAGTTTGATACTGACACCTGGTGTAGCCAGTGGGGTTTGAACACACCTCCGAGAATACACAGGGGTTAAAAAGGGGGGCTCTGGCCCTGGGAGG